AAAGTAAATCAATCATCATCATCATAAATCCATGAACAAGTCATTATTTGCACTCTGGATATATAGGGTAACATTGGTTACAGTATTTCAAAAGTTGAAGATGACCAGTTTTACTATTAACTAAATCGTTCCATGATTTGAAAAGAATGGGATATATTGGAACAGCAGAAGAGACAGTTGTCGTAGCAGTCATTGCAAGAAAATGCACCAACAAAAATCTTCTAGTTCATCATGATGATGTTTATTGCTTCCATTAAGATTGTTACATGGGATGCTACCGACAACAAGGTCAAATCCGCCAAATCTACTCATCAATTGCTCCAACTGATCATCATTCAGTTCTTGCACATCTGTTTTCAAAGATATGCTAAGACAGTAGAAGGCGACCTCTGCAGCACTGATTCCAGCAAAAAGAAACAAGACATTGATATGAATGGGAAACATATCTCTAGCAGATCCTCCTCCTCGTGTATGGTTTTTAAGGAAACCTAGAAGCATTTCCGCCTCATCAGGTTGAAGTGGAGCAACTTTATTCCTTCCAACCCATACTAGATTCCATTTTCAGCACTCATCAAGAACATACTTCTGGACACTCGAATGTGGCTCATTGTCATAAGCTTCAAGAGCTTTACAGATCCTTTCTGTCAATTTGGCACTTCCTGTACATATTTATAAACAGTTCAACTTTGTTCTTGGATTCCAGGAAGGCCATCATTTCTTTGTCAATGGAAAAGCATCAGCACATAAAGAAAGCAGAATAAGAACAAATTTGTTCTTAATTGGCAGAATTATGAATATAGCCCTTTTCAGTGTAGTAGCATGAAAAATGCTTTGAATCTATAAATTCTGGCTCTACATCGAATAAATACTGTGATATCCCAGTCCAAACATTAACTGGAACAAATGCAATGTGCTAATAGCATCTTCTGGAAGTGTTCTTTGAGTTATCTGATCTGGTTTGGTATGAACCACAGAATCAATCATTGAATTTGGAAGAGGAATGTGCTCATAGCATCTTCTGGAAGTGTTCTTTGAGTTATCTGATCTGGTTTGGCATGAACCACAGAACCAGTTATTGAATTTGGAAGAGGAATGTGCTCATAGCATCTTCTGGAAGTGTTCTTTGAGTTATCTGATCTGGTTTGGTATGAACCACAGAACCAGTTATTGAATTTGGAAGAGGAATGTACTAATAGCATCTTCTGGAAGTGTTCTTTGAGTTATCTGATCTGGTTCGATATAAAACCACAGAACCAATCATTGGAATTAAAAGATGAATTGCATGATCGTCTTCATTAAGAAGCTTCTTTTCAAGCTTCTTCTGTTTATTCCTTTCCCAAAAAAATCATAGCCCAAGTTTCGCCTTTTCTTGTAATTGGGATCATTACATAATGACTTCCTACCTTTTACCAGAAGAAGTGCATCAGCAGCCTTAATCATTTGAGCAACACATATGAAATCTGTCAATTTTGTAATTGATGAATCTGAACCACATCTCTTCATGGCTATTGAAGCTTCAGCCTTTGAGAATCCCATTTTTGTCAAGTATAACAGTTTATTCTCCTCATCAGAATCAGAATTCAAGATTTCTCGGTATTAAAAGAACTATCGATATCTGTGAAATCATCTTGAAAGGTCACTTCATAATCAGATGAGTTGTTATCAGAATCAACATGTTGCATGAATGCAAGCTTTTCAAGAGCCTATACTATTAAGTTTTATTCTCAAGAGGTTTTGCGATATTATATCTACATCTACATTTGTCAAAGATGATAAGATTCTCTGATTTGAAGGAAAAAGATTTATTGGGTTTCTACAACTGAAGAAATATTCAGTTCACCAATCTGAAATCAAATAACTTAACATTCATGCATCATATTTAGGCATTTGCAAAAATATGTGCATTTTCATTCATTCTCATCCATGTTGAATTTTGACAGGAATTTCAAAGATTTTTAGCAAAGATTCAAATCCATCAATTGATGGATTAACATTGCCAGGTAGAGTTCATAATGAGAAGAACTCATCATCTGAAGAAGGAAGAAGAAGTTCATAATGAGAATAATTTGTTCAACCTTTTGTTTAAATTCATCAATTGATGGATTAACATTGCCATGTAGAGTTCATAATGAGAAGAACTCATCATCTGAAGAAGGAAGAAAAAGTTCATAATGAGAAGAATTTGTTCAACCTTTTTGCTTGAATTCATCATTTGATGGATCAGCTTTGCCAGAGAAAGTCCATAATAAGAAGAACTCATCTGAAGAAGGAAGAAAAAGTTCATAATCAAAAGAATTTGTTCAACCTTTTGCTCAAATCCATCATTCAATAGATAAGCTTTTCCAGTTCGAGTTCATAATGAGAAGAACTCATCTGAAGAAGGAAGAAAAAGTTCATAATGAGAAGAATTTGTTCAACCTTTTGCTTGAATTCATCATTTGATGGATCAGCTTTGCCAGAGAAAGTCTATAATAAGAAGAACTCATCTGAAGAAGGAAGAAGAAGTTCATAATGAGAAGAATTTGTTCAACCTTTTGCCCAAATCCATCACTTGATGGATCTGCTTTTCCATTTCAAGTTCATAATGAGAAGAACTCATCTGAAGAAGGAAGAAAAAGTTCATAATGAGAAGAACTTGTTTAACCTTTTGTTCAAATTCATCACTTAATGGATCAACCTTTACAGAGAAAGTTCATAATGAGAAGAACTCATCTGAAGAAGAATAAGTTCATAATAAGAAGAGCTTATTCAACCTTTTGAATGACTCTATCACAGAAGGAAAGAGGTCAACATCATCCCCAGCAGAAATTTCATAATGAGAAGAACTCATCTAAAAGAAAGAGAAAAATTTATTCAACATCTCCATACTAATCAAGTGAAGTCAAATGAAAAAAATTTATTATCTTTTCGTCTTTGCTTTATTCTTATTAAGAATAAGCAAAGAGGGGCAGCTGAAGATATTCATTTTTTTCATTTAAATATTATTTATATTATTATTATTATTATTATTATTATTATTATTATAATTATACTTATTATAATTATTATTATTAATATATATTATTAATATTGCAAAACCCAAATGGTGGCCCAGATCAATGAGCCCATAACAAACCCTAACAGATTAGGGTTTTTCTATTCCCCCAGTCGCCATTTTCAATTTCAGCCGTTGGATCTGGTTTGATCCAACGGTCCACAGTTTGCCAGAGGAAACCCTAGGGTATCAATACCCTAGGGACACGTCCCAGCGCCGCCGTAGATTCCAGAAGACCACGCGGCGTTGCTTCAGCCTCGCCGCCACTCCAGCCGCACACATGTCGTCCCAACGGTGAGTCACCACTGGGAGTCTGGTGACTCACCAGACTCCATTCTTTTACCCGGTCCGATGGCCACACCGGTGATGGCTATAAAGCCATCACCCCATCTGCGAACAGAAAGAAGAGAACAACAGACTCAGAGAGAAAAAAAACCGAGAAACAAAGATAAAAAAAGAGACCAACTCACAACAATCAGTAACCAAAAACAAAAGAAAAGGGAGGAGAGAATCTTACCGAGAAAGCTACGACCACCAGACCTCTTCAAACGTCACCAAAACCTTCGAAAACCGAAGGTATTTTTCTTAGATTTGCTCTGATGGGGAGCCGTTTAGAAGAAAAAACCATCGGAACCGTCATTAGGACGGTCCGATCTATATTTTAGTATAAATTTTTTTTTCCGGCCACCGAAGGCGGTGGTCGGCGGTAGAAGAACACCGGCGAGCGGCTGCCGGCCGGCTAGCTTCTCTCTGTTTTAGAGAGAAGCGAGAGAAAATTCTCTCTCTCAGAGAAGAGAGAGAGAGGAAAAAAACGAGAAATGAAGCTGGCCCTTCGGGCCAGCCGGGTTTGGCTTTAAATAGCCCTTCCCGAACGACGTCGTTTCGGGAAGGGCTATTTGTGTAATTTTTTAATTGTTAAATCCCGTCCGCCATCCCTCAAATTTGTAAACTTTACATTTTAGTCACTAAATCAATTTATAATCCTTTTAATTCGGTTCTTTAATTTTAATTTTATTTATTTTAGTCCTTTATATTAAAATAATATATTTAGGGTAAATAACAGATTTAATCCCTTAATTTTAATAATTAATATTTTAATCTCGAGTTTATATTTTTAATTTATTTTAATCTGATATTCAAATTTTAGATAAGTTTTATTTTAGTCACTAAATTAATAAATAAGAAAATAGCATGTTTAATCCCTATAATTTTGATTAATTATGAATTAGATAATTTTAATTTTAATTTTACTATAATTTAGTCACCAATTTTAAATATTTTCATATAGTTCTAATTATATTTTTATTGTTTTAATTTTACTTGTTTATATATTTAAATATTTTTATTATTATTATGTAGTCATAAATATATATATAATAAATAATAATTTATTTTTTCAATAAATTATTTTAATATTTATTTTTCAATATCGAAGAAAAGGACAGTCTTAATACAACTGGATGTTCTATTCTGGTATTTTAAAATTAAATATTATAAAAAATTATTATTTAATTTTATTCAAATTAATATTTATTAATATCAAAGAAAAGAGCTGTCTTAAGGCACATAGAAGTCCTTTTCCGATATTTTTAAATAAATAAATATTTTTTAATTTTGAAATAATAGGATTATAAATTAAATATATTTTGAATTGTTTTAATAGAGACAATTTATAATTAAAAGTACCAATTTTGGGCGTTGTAGGGGTGTTAATCCTTCCCTAAACGTAACCGACCACGAATCCCTTTTTATTATTAAAAAGAACGAATTTTTGGTTATAAACGCAGATCAGTTCATTTTTTAATTGATGTTTTCTTAAAACTCTTTTAAAAATAATCTTTAGGTATTCGACCTACCTGACCCAAAAGGCCGATGGCGACTCCCAAATTATTTTCAAAACCATTTATTCACATCAATTTTCCCGCCAAGTATAATATTTCGTGCCCGGACAAAAACCGGTTACGACAGTCTCCTTGTTATCTGCTGCAACAGACTGCATACTCAAGTAAAATGATGGATTTTCCCCTAATTCCAGAAGTGACAATCTGTAATGAAAGAAAAAATAAAACAATAGATGAGGATGCAATTCAAGGGGAAGGGATTACAGTCTCAATGGTTTAATGCTGGAAGCAGTGAATGAGACTTGTTTCATTTACAATTTCCTTAAATCAGGCCATTGGTGTAACTGCAGTTCAGATCGATCCCATCCCACCAAAGCTACTGGAGGCCTTCCCTTCATGAAGTGTTGTTCCATTCTGGAGCTGCTCGTTCGTTTCTTCCTAAAACAAACATTTAAGGACATTGAAGAAATGAACAGAAAAGAAAAACATGAAGGGGCAAGTATGCAGGTTCCATGATACATATTTGTTGTGCATACATAAACAAGAGTATTGCCTGATATGATTTATCTTCCCTAAAGAATTGCAAGACAAGCGGAGCTCTACAGTCATGGTGCTGCTCTTGTGCGAGAACCGATGTAGGAAAATGCCTACTTACAGAAGCAACCGGAATAGAAGCAGCAGCAATAGGAGCTGCTTGCTCATGGAACATTGAAACTGCATAATTGTACATGATATTGTCATTCAGAACTTAATATCATTATATCTAATAAATTGAAAGAAAAACGGATACATTCATACATAACCACGTATAGGCACTTCTATTTATCCATCTACGAATTTCTCCATATAAATACACAAATTTCCAAGGAACCCGGATTCTATATAAGCATTTAAACGATTTACAAGACTGTGGGAATTGGGATAGAACAGAAGAATTTATGAATTTAAACTAAAAGCAAACTGAAAAACGATGTGACTATACCTATATATCTCCAAGACCAAGACCAACTGTTAAAGTATCAAAGTAACTCAGTAACTAAAGAACACTCAATGAATAAAGAAAACCATGTACTCATTCCTTCATTCATTTGTAAATGCATACCTTTACAGTAATGGCTCAAGCCTCCTTTATACACAAAGAAGAGAGGGAATTATAAAAGCGGGAAATGACATTATAGGGAAAGAACGTTAGAGGAGAGAGAGAAGTTTGTTAAATCCAAACAACTCTAACCACCTCACGTACTTCACACATGCATGAGATACATGCATACATCACATACACTAACATTCCCCTTGCTACTCCAAACCTTCACTCAAACTTCCAATCTGCACTCTGCATACTTCAGACGTTAACATTTCCCTTGCTTCTCCAAACCTTCAACCTGCACACTTAAGTTGAACAATCAACAGTTTCTGCCTATGCTTCACAAATAATGGTGCAGACAGTGACTTTGTTAGTATGTCTGCAACTTGTTCATATGCAGGAACCTTATGAACTTGTAACTTCTCTGCTGCAATCATTTCTCGAACAAAAAAGAGATCAAGCTCCACATGCTTGAATTTAGAATACAGAACATGATTAGCACAAATTGCAACTGCACTTGAGTTATCACACCACAAAGTAGGTTTACCATGAGGAACAATATGCAGTTCACTCAACAAAGACTCAAGCCACACCATTTCAGCAGCTGCACATGCAACACTTTTATATTCTGCTTCAGCTGTTGATTGAGCCACAACCTGTTATTTTCAAGAGCTCCATGAAACTAGATTACCTCCAAAATAAATACAATATCCAAATGTAGAACGTCTATCATCAACATCTGCTCCCTAACTTGCATCAGCAAAGCCTGTCAAAGAAAGTCGAGAAGAAGCCAATAAATGCAAACCAAAGTCAATTGTTCCTTGTAAGTATCTTAAAATACGTTTCACTGCTTGAAAGCGAGTCTCAAGAGGATCTTGCATAAATTGACACACACGATTTACAACAAAATCAATATCTAGGCGAGTGATCACAACATATTGTAAAGCTCCAACAATACTATGATACTGAGTAATCTTCTCTACTGGATTTCCATCCTTAGCTGAAATCTTATAGTTGGTAACCATGGGTGTAGGAATGCCATTTGCATTTTCAAACCCATTGTGATGTAACGGCTCATGAATATATTTCTGTTGACTTAACACAACACCACCAGATTCATAATTGACTTCAATTCCTAAGATAAAATTGAGAATACCCATATCTTTTAGAGTAAACTTTTCATGCAACTTGTCAATAACCAACTACACCTCACTTGCTTTATCACCAGTGAGAATTATATCATCAACATATACAAGAAAGTACAACAAGCAATCCTCCATATTTCGAACAAAAAGAGAAGAATCAGACTTAGCTACCACAAAGCCTTCAGATTCTAGATAGCTCCTTAAACTCTCAAACCACACATCTGGTGCCTGTTTTAAACCATATATAGCTTTATGTAACTTGCAAACTATTTTATCACCACCAAACTCAAAACCAAGAGGCTGAGTCATATAGACTTCTTATTCAAGCACTCAATTCATGAAGACATTGTTAATGTCAACCTGTCTAAGCTGCCACCCCTTCGATAAAGCCATTGTCAAAATGACACGAACAGTTACTGGTTTAACAACAGGACTAAAAACCTCATGGAAGTCAATACCTGGTTTCTGAAAAAAACCTTTTGCTACTAATCTTTCTTTATAACGAGCAATCGAGCCATCTTCATTTCTCTTGATTTTGAACAACCATTTACAATTTACTGCCTTTCTATAATCTTGACTCCAAACTGAACCTCGATAAGTTTATAAAAAATGAGAAAACATTACATAACTTTTAACTTTCTTTTAATCAAGTAAAGTCATGTAAATCTGCTATACACATCGATAAAGGGCACATAGTAGGCAAATCCATCACTAGAAATAATTGGCGTTGGTCCACATACATCAGAAACAACTAATTGAAAAGGGGCAATGTATTTAGTAATTGAATTAGAGAATGCCAGCTTGTGAGCTTTACTCTGTAAAAAAGCATTGCAAACATATGACAAAGAACTTTCATTAGAAGCAACATTACATGATTTCATTACTGTCTTTACCACACTAACATCTGAATGCCCTAATCTTTTATGCCATAAGTCTAATAGAGCACAAGACTTTGACAAATTATTTAGTTGCATATTCTTCATATTAGGTGATAGAAACTGATATAACCCTTCATCCGTGAGCTTCCCGTTCAACAACACGCTATGGGTCCGAGCATACTTCACAAGACATTCAAAAGAATGGAATTCAATACAGATATTATTATCCCTGGTAAACTAGGAAACAAACAATACGTTTTTCTTAATGTCAGGCACATGCAAATCATTTTGCATAACTAATTGCTTCGTTTTAGATGGCAAGCAACTTTGGCCAATATGGGAGATTTTAATACCTTTCCCATTTCCCATATGAAGGCAATGATTACATATATAAGGCATATTCATATTAAGCATAAACACATAATTTGCAACATGATGTGTTACCCCCGTATCTGGATACCACACTGGATCAGCACTACTAGTTGATACAGCAAGATGAGGTGAATGAGTAGTCGAGACAAAGGCAGCTGAAGGATTCACAAATCCTTGTGAACTTTTAATTGACTCCAAACCACTATATGCTTCCATTGGAGAGTACCATGGAACCCTTGATAGAAAGATCCTATACTAGGCATCATGAAATAGGGATTAGAATAATAGAATCCATCGAGGGAAAATGAGCACTCATTATATGGGTGAAAGCATGAGAATTGGAAGGTAACTGTTGATTTCCTACAGAAACTTGTGATAGCCTCCACCCTTCACTACGTCGATTGTCAGTGGAAACACTTATGAAATTCCTATCAAATTGATGATATCATTTTTGCACCGTATGACCATATTTTCCATAGAGCTGACATTTGGGATGATTTGAATTCTCAAACTGACCTAGACCACGTTACGATAACCATCACTAGATTGACCTTGTATAGCACCGTCTTGCTTTGTAGTAACAGTGGTCTCAGAAAACTCAGAATCATGCACCTTAGTATCACCTGTAGACCTAGAAACCAGGTTAGTTGAAATTCTTTCAGTGAGAAACGCCTTATGTCATCCTTCACAATCCAGTAACATTTCAGTGAGCACATATGAGGACAAACTATCTCAGGAATCAATTGCAATAACATATTCAAATTCCATGGATAAACCTGCAAGGATTATATTGATTTGCTCATGTTCAGTGATCGGACTGCTTGCAACACTTAACATATCACATATGGACTTAACCTTAGCAAGAAATTCATTCACCGACTGGCCAACTTGTTAAAAACATTTTGATGTTTTGATATAAGAAATTAAATGTTATTAGATTTCAAGATTTTCTAATCATTTTCAAATATATATTCGATTAAACTTTTCGAATATTAAAATATTACTCCAAGTTTTTCAAATATCAATACTCAAGTGTAAAAGTGTGTTTTTATCTTTTAAACAATTTTACAAAGTATTTCAAGCCTTAATCGAGCCAAAAATATTTTCTTAATAAATATTAAACCGAGAAGGCATATTGCCTAGAGGGTACCGATACCCCCATGTAAGATTTGGCTCCGAGAAATAACAGATTGCTCGGAGGGTACCGATACCCCCATCTTATAACACTCAAAATATTTGAATTTTACACAGCAGGGTACCGATACCCTTTGTAAGGGTACCGATACCCCCTCAACGCTCTAATCTATTTTATTAATTATTTTCACATAATAACGACTCTATTGACTCCACTAATGATCCCCAAAGCTCAAAAATGATCCAAGAAGTATTTAAACAAGCTTAGGAGCCATTGATCAACAACAATTATCAAGAATCAAGAGAGAATCAAAGAGAAAGCATCAAACCTCAAGTTTGTGCATTTTCAACCCTATTTCATTCAATATTCATTTTTGCTTTCAAGAACACTTATTGTGCTCAATTATATTATTCTTGGTGTTCTTTCTTTGTTCTAGAATTGTGCAAACATCTTGCCTTGTGAGGATTTTCTTGTAAGTTTGCAAAATTTGTATTGTTATCTTTGGGAGAGAGTGTTCTCAAGAATTTGGGGTATAATTCTTGAGGGTTTTGTAAGGTTACTCTTTGTCCTCAAAATAAAGACAAATTAGTGAATTTGTGGAAAATCCTTAGTGTGGATAGCTAAGGTAGTTGACGTAGACTTTGGTTGAGAAAGTCGAACCACTCTATATCGTTGTGCAAATATTTTCAATTTTTTGCAAAAGCTTCCACCGAAATTTTTATTGCCAATTCACCCCCTCTTGGACTATTCCGTCGATTAATTAAAATAACAATTGGTATCAGAGCCTCACTCATTTGAAGGTTAAATCGCCTCTTGAGTCATTTTGGGAAGAGTTACATCGATAATCAATTCATCAATGGCTTCCACTTCAAACTCTGACTTCGGTCTTGATTCATTGCCCGTCAACAAGCCTTCTTTCTTCAATGGAACTAATTATGCTTATTGGAAGAATAAGATGATGTACTTCATTCAAGCAAGTGACATGGGAGCATGAAATATTATAGAAGACGGATACATCAAACCTTCCACTCATTGAAGATTGTGGAGTGAATGAGAGACAATAATGTTCCAACTCAACTCCAAAGCTATCCATATTATTTTTTAA